GAATAAATCGAGGCTCAGAGATGCAGTGACTCTCACAAGGCTACAAATGCTGCATGCTCCAATGTTCTTCCCACCAGAGCACAAAGCCTTCCAACTTCCGAAGCGGTCAACTGCCCTTTGCATATTCACATAGACTGCAAACTGCCCAAGTCTCCATCCCCCACCTCAAATAACTCTTCTAAAAGGTTTTCAAATTCTCACCCATCCATACTCAAGCAAAAAATACCACCCCAGAGAAAGATCCAGGAATCTGAAAGAAGAAATAAGTGGAATAAAGATGTTTTCCCTTACAGAATTTAGGGACTGCTCCTATTTGCTAATTCACCGTGTAACTGTAAAAAACATACACTAGATACTTGTCATATTCCCCCAACTCCAATGGGTTTCAAGAGGGTTGCTGCTGTTCAGTCACCCTACTCTCTGTGACCCCATTTGGGATTTTCTTGGCAAAGATACTGGAGTGGTTTACCATTTCCTTCTCTAGCTCATTTTTACAGATGAGAAAATTGAGGTAAACAGGGTGAAGTGACTTGCACAGGGTCACACAGCTAGTGTGATTCCAGGCCCGACACTCTAGCTAGCCAATGACTAAATCTCTATCTTCTCCCTCACACCCTGAACTGCACAAAATGGGGTCTATTTGTTGGCACAAATCCAATAGTTAAGTCTTGGGAACCTGAAATTCAGTCTCTAGGCCCTGAAGGAAACCAGTTTTTGGTTTGTTCGTTTTTTAAACAAGATTGAATTCAAAAAAATTCAGCACTCCTATGCAAAATGCACTGAGTAGGGACCGTATGAAGACAAAAATGAGGGGAGCTAGGTGGCATAGTGGATAGAAATCCAGCCTTGGAGTCAGGAGGACTTGAGTTCAAATTCAGCCTCAAACACTTGACACTTACTAGCTGTGTGACCCTGGGCAAATCATTTAACCCCAACTGTCTCACCAAAAAACAAAAAAATAAAATGAAAACTGTCTATGTTGACCCACTCAGCTCCTCCTCAGCCTCTTCTAGTGCACATCAGGGTTCCCACTTCTAACAGGAGGCCTGTCCCAGGTTCTGTCCTCCTTCCCCATTCTCAAGGCACTCACTGCCTTCTCATCAGCTCCCCTAGGTTCAATGATTTGTCTCTGCACACATGATCCCCAAACCTAAATTCACCCAGGCCTAGTCTTTCTCCTGTGCTCCAATCCTGTACATGAAATATTTCCAACTCTACGGCCCAGACAGGCCACACTTCCCTTCATCAATCAATGAAGCACACCACCAGCCATCTTCCCAGTCACCCAGGTCCAAAACTGCCACCAAGCTCCCCTCTTCACTCTCATCTGCCTGTCCAAACAGTTGTCCAGCCCTGTCGATTCAACCCTCAGAACCTTTCTCAAAACCGTCTCTTCCTCTCTAGACACAGCCACTACCCTTGTTCAGGCTCTCAATAACAGCTAAATAGTGCCTTAACATTTCCAAAGCACCTTATGTGTTGCCTCAGCTGTACTACTGCAGAAACCTGATAAGTGGTCTCTGTTCACTACCCACTAGATCCCCTTTCCAACCTATCCTAGAGAAGCCAGGTCTGACTCGCCTCCCCACGTGCTTTTCACAACTCTCTCTAGGGCAGAATACAAACTCCTCTGCTGGGCACTGCAGACCCTTCCCAATCTGACCTTGCCAGGCTGATGATGCATCACCCACTCTAGCCCAACTGGCCTCCATGCTCTTCTTGACAATCTCTGCCTGCCTCTGCCCAGGTTACTTGATCCTCCCTGCCCAACTACTCTGTATTCACTTGGGATAATAGATTTAAACCTGGAAGTGACCTCAGAAGCCAATCAGTCTCACCTTGCTCCATTCTGCCGGTGAGGAGACTGAGGCAGGAAGGGGTTAAGTGCCTTTGCCCAGGGTCACACAGCTAGTGTCCACCTAGGATTTGAATCAATCCTCCTGAAATCATAACACTCTGCCAAATAGACAGTAACTGGGCACATACTAGATAATTAATACAGAATTACTGAACAATTACCCACAAAGAGCTTTCGCCTGACTAGCAAGCAGTTGAATAAGACTGTCTAATATGAGAGAGAGATCAAACCCCCCATTCCCTGTAGGAGGTGGCACCTGGGAATGAGAGAAGTAGGGGCAGGTGCTTTCCAGGCTTGAGAAACATACACCAAAAAGGTCTGGAACAAGGAAATGGAATGCCTGGTTAAGGGACATCAAGTAGGTCAATCTGGTTGAAAAGCGGAATGTGTCAAGGGTCTAGAACAGCCATCTGGCAAAGCTTTAGATGCCCAAATGAGTCTGCATTTTATCCTAAAAGGAATAAGGAACCAACCAACGAAGACTGCTGAGCAGAAGCACGGGTCAGATGTGTGCTTGAAGAAGCTTGGAGGATGCCTTGGCATAATCATATATTTCTACTATCCCTAAAGTTAGAATTCATTATAATCAATGATTGCTGTGTAAATTCATTTGGCATCTCGGAGAAGTAGAATTTGAGGAATAGAAGGTACTATAATCTTGCCCCTCCTTTTATAGATGAGTAAATGATGACCCTGAAAGGTGAAATCACTTGCCCAAGATCACATAGCAAGCTATGTCAAGAAAACAGGGACGCTGAGCCCCAGGCTTTTCCCATCTCATCACACACCTACTTCCAGTGATCGCTGGCAGAAAGAAGCAGGCTTCTAAAACGCCCATAAAATCTTCTCCACAAGATCTAGGAGAACCTAAGCCAACAAGGGCACAGGAGGAGGAGGCTGGGAAGGAGTGGAATAATCAGCACCACAGGAGAGAACACACACACAGAAGACACAGGGCTCACTCAAGTGCATCCCAGTCCAGTATTAACTACCTCCTGAAAGAATTCCTGGCATGTTGTATCCATCCCTTTATGCTCTCTCTGTAACAGAGGCCCAAACTCCTAAGCTTCTCTCATGCTTTTAGCAATGCCTGGTCAGTAGGCAAGAATAGGCTAGGAGGACCAACGGGGTGAATAAAAGTTAGAGAGAGGAAACAAGGGCGGGACAGGAATTAAAAGACCAGATTGTAGAGACAAAGCCTGGGGAGAAAAATAAAGGGGGGGGGGAAGACAAATGGGAAGGGTGAAAATCGCAACGTCTGAGAGAGAACAGGGCACAAGGGAGTAAAGACAGAAAAGAGGCAAACAGGCACTTGAGCACTTTTTACTTTTAATTTAGGCAAAAACAGAAATGAGTATTTGCCAAAAAAACCTGTTTTTTGGTTCATTCTCCAAAGCAGCCAACAGGCATTAGAGTGTGTTGTGTTTTTTAGTTAATCTCGATAAGTCAAGAACTCGATTTATATAAAAAAAAGCTAAATTTCAGTAATCAAATAAAGGGAGGAAATTATTAATTACCCGGAAGCCTTTAATCTAAAGGCCTATCTATACCAGTTAGCACTGTGCTATCAATAATTACCAAGTAACAGGAAAAGCTAAGTGTTTAATAATTATGTAGTGTTATGTTTACCATCCCCTCGGTTTATCAATAGCCCGGGGCTATGGAGGAGGCTTGGGAGACCCCTCCATTTTGTTAAATCTTAGAAACCCAAGTTTATCTTATCCTGCCATCGCCCCCACCCACCTCAATCATAACCAACATTTTCCCCGAGAGTGAAATCCATTCAAACTTATCAAAAGATTAAAGGACTTTTCCTGCAGAATGAAAACCAAACAAATCTTTGCCCTTTAATTACCTCTTCCTACTCCAATCCTTAACTGTGGCCCTTCCTCTTTCGCCTAGGGACCGGGGAGCCCGAGGAAGGCAGCCGAACCCTCCCGGGGAAAAAGCTTCTGAATCCCAGCCCGATCCCCTCCTCGACTCCCAGGAGACTCCACCGAAGGGCTCCAGCCGGACAGTGTAGACCTGGCCCACCCGTGGGGTGGGGTGGGGGTACCCGGAAATCTACAAAGGGGGAGAGGCTTCACGCCCCCGGGCAGACAGCCCCCCCCCACCACGCACGGGGTCGGAGGCGGGCCTGGGTCTGCCACAGCTTCGGCGTTCCCGAAGGGCCCAGGAGGTACCACGACCTCCCCCCTCACAATTACAGGGGGGCCTCACCCGACCAGGCCCCGAGCCAAGGAGAGCCGGCCGAGCCGGTAGGGGGCTGGACCAACTGAAGCCGCATCATTCACGGCCCCCCCCCCCGCCTCGAGGTGCCCAGACTTGGGGTCTCAGGGGTCCCAAACTAGACTGGGGAGAAAACACCTCGTGGCCCCTCAAGGACCCTCGGCCTCCCAGCTCCGCCTCCGGCCCTGGAAGGACCCGCCGAGGACAATGGCCTCAGCAGGCCCCACCTGGCAGGGGGAGGGTGAGTGATAGGGGCGGAGGCGGGGCCACAGCGGGGCGGGGCTGACACCTTCACCTAGCTCAGCGGCGGCGGGGGACGGCGGCGGCGGAAGCCCCGCCCCCCGGCCCCGCCGGCCAATCCCAGCGCGCCGTCGCCGAGCCTGCGCTCGAGTCCCAGGACAGGGCCCGGCCGGCGCGCGACCCCAGCTCGGCCCCGGCCCGAGCCGAGAGCGCGCGACCCCTGCAGGCCCAACCAATCAGGGCGGGGTGAGAAGCAAGGACGCCCCCCGCAACACACACACACACACACACACACACACCCACCCACCCACCCACCCACACCACACACACACACACACACACACCCCCCTCTCTCCGGTAACCCCGGCGCGCGCGCGCAGGGCCATCTTCAGTTCTCCCCGCCCCCAACCTCCAAGTCCGCGCGCGCCCCCCACCACGCGCGCGCCACCGCGGCTCGCGCGTCCAACCGTCGCCCCTCGCAACCCCCCCACCCCGCCCCCACCCCCGAGGCCCGGGGCTCGAGGGGGGAACCGACGGCCACCCCCCCAACAATAACCACCCCCTCCGTTAAACTGCCCCCCACGTCTGCCCCTCGGCAGCGGAGGAGGAGGCGACCGCGGCCGCGGGCTAGGCCGGGCTGGGCCCGGCCGGGCCGAGCGGGCCTCGGACTCACCCGATGCAGCGGCGGCCGCGGCGGCAACAGCGGCAGCAGCGGCAGCAGCAGCAGCAGCGGCGGCGGCGGGGACGGCGGGGACGGCGGCAGCGCCGGGTAGCCCCGAGGCGCGGAGGAAGGAGGCGGGGGAGGGTGCGGGGCGCCGATCAGGCCGAGCCGGGGGCGGGGGCGTCCGGTCTCGCTCGCGGGCTGGCCGGTCCTGCCTGCGCCTGGGGCTGGGGCCGTCGCTGTCGCCGTCGCCGCCGCGCTCCTGTCACCGCCGCATGGCCGCCCCCGGTAGGGCCCACGCTCCGCGCACGGCTGGCCTGAGCGCCCGAAAGGCGGAGGAGCAGAGCGCGGCGGGCGGGCGGCGACCAGAGAGGGGGCGCGCGAGGTGGGGGCCCGCGGCGTTCTGTGGCCCCTGTTGTCCGCTCTCCTCCTCCTCCTCCTCCTCAGCTCGCTCTTTTTTTTTTTTTTTGTTCCTCGATAGCCCGCTGCGCATGCGCGCCCGCCGCGCCGCCCCGCGGGAGTCGTAGTCTTCCGGGCCTTGCCCACCAGGCCGAGGGCGGCGGGGCCGGACTACGACTCCCAGGGTGCACTGCGAGGGCGAGCCCCGAACTCGGGGACGGGGCGAGAGCGAGCGGCGCTGGCCCGCCCGGACGAGGGCTGTCAATGGAGGAGCGGAGCAGGAGGAGCCGAGGACGAACATGGCTGCGGCTGCTGCTGCTGCAGCTGCACCTGGGGCCTGCTGGGCTGCAAGGGGGGGAAGGGGGAGGGAAACCCCGGCTCGGCTGTGCTCGGCCCTGCTCTGCTCGGGCCCGGCCTGCGACCCTGGCACGGGCGCCCCACTCCTCACGAAGCCCCCACCTCCGCTTACCGACACAAAGAGTGGCTCCCGCTGCTGCAGCACTGCGGGGGCCTCCCGGGCCCGGCGCGCCCACGCCCGCCTGGGCACAAAGAAGTTTAAGAAAGAAAGAAATCGAGTGCTACTGGGAGGCTGGACAAATCAGAGCTAGCAAGCCTGGGCCGAGGCCCTGCCCAGCCCTGACCAGGGCTTATAGATCCCGGGTAGGATGCAGCAGCCTTCCCTTTGTCCGGCCGCCGCCTGCCCGACCTCAGGCAGGGCTCAAGAATGTGGTCGGACCGAGAGGAGGGCAGCCCGGCAGGACTGTAAAAATCTGGTTTCGGATTTAGGTTCTGGTGGCCGAATAACCAGGCAGACCTGCTGGGCTTCAGCCCTTCCTCGTGTGAGCCCCCCCCAAAATGCTTCAAGTCTTGAGAAGCATACGTTCGTGTGCACAGACGTGAGCATGCACATCTATACATCTGCACTGAATTGATGCAGCAAATATGTGTTCCAAGACTCAGAACTTTTAAAGCTTTAAACCGGGGAAAGCTTGAGCTTCAGCCTCAGTATTCACTTTTCATTACGCAACAGATATCTCAAATTTTGCTCAGTTTCCCCATCTGTAAAGTGGATGAAGTGAAGCCTCTCCTCTCCCCACTTTTACCTTAACTGCAAACTCGAGTTGAGTCCTATATGAATTCGAGCTATTGTTTGGGAGTAATGGTTACTGTACAATGATACTTAAAAGTTTTGACTATGAATTTTGTACAGTCTGTCAAACCTGTACCATGGATCAAGGATTTTATGCAATATTAGGTAAAAAGGCATCGAAAAGGAAAGCTTGGACGTGCTTGCTCACCCATTGCCAGTATCATGTTTTACTTATAAACACTCAAAAAAAATGAGGGCAGTGAAAAGTAGAAACTTCCATTTTTATCTTTTTGCCCCCTGTGCCTAGCATTTAGCAGACATTGCATAAGTACTTGTTTGTTGACTAGCTGGCTTGTCTAGGATAGGTGGTGGTGCCCTATGGATCTACTCCGCAGGGTGTTTTGTCATTTTTTGTTTTTTGGTAAGCAACTCTACTCAGTCATAAACTCTTTGCAGTACTCAAAAGTTCTCAATAACATCCTTAGAGGTAGTTTCCATGCTTGCTCTCAAACAGAATAGAGATGCTGTCTGTTGTCTTAATGCTTGTTGCTGCTGATGGGAGAAAGCAGTGCTTCTGAGAGAGACTAATAGGATGGAACAAGGGCAGGCCTGTGCATCAGACATGAAGGCGTGCTAATGTTGCAGCTATGACAGCCAGTGATACCAACAGCATGTCACAGAAAGATAATTGTACCCTTTTACAGAACTTTAGGGAGCCTGCTTTTCTGCAAATCCTAGTAGGAACCTTTCAGACGTATTGGAGGCAGCTGAAACAAAAATCTTCAAATAATTAGAATTGAAAAATTGATTTGCAAAAAGATAAGATTAAAATCCCATAATACAGTATACAACTGGGTTGACCAAGCACAGGGATACCAAACGTTACATAATATTTTGAAGAGTACAGTTAAGAGAATGGGTAAAGCAAGCTGGCACTGTAAAGTTAAGAAAAGGAGAACTCTAGTTCTTGATATCAGAACTTTTAACGTTCGCTCTCCTAGGTGTATTGGGCTTCCTCTTATGCTTTCTGAATTGTTCCAGCTATTGAGTTCTTTTATTCTAAAACTGCAGCATGCATAGGCATGTATTTTTGTATATCCACGCATGTGCGCATGTCTGAAAATGTTTTTTATTTTTCTGGTGAGGCAAAACAATCGTGGCATCTGAAGTGCCTGCATTTGATTATCATTCATTCTGCTAGTACTCAGCCCCTCCTATTTGCCAGGCATTGTCCTACACACTAAGGATACCGAGACCAAAATAAAAGGAATGCCTCTTGCCCTTAGAGTTCTCATATTCTACATTGGAGAAACAATACATACGCAGAAAGGTAAATACAAAATATACACAGATCCCATTACAAGTGGTGAATAGGCAAAACATGCATTTGGACAACGAGGTGGTACAGTGGAGTCAGTGGATAGACTCATCTTCTTGAGTTTCAATCTGGCCTTGGACACTATCTGTGTGACCCTGGTCGAGTCACTTAACTCTGCCTCAGTTTCCTCATCTGTCAGATGAGCTGGAAAAGGAGATGGCAAACCACTCCAGTATCTTTGCATGGGGTTATGGAAAGTCTGAAATGACTGAATAACAACAACAAAATGAATAGCATTTGGGGATTTTAGAAATAAAGAAAGGAAAGCAAATTAAGTATGTAATAAAACTACTATCCTTCATAGACAAAGCTCCAACATCAATAAGACAAGTTGTTCCAGCAATGAGATTGGCTTTTGTACTGTTTTTCTTTCGCCGTGCTAAAGGAGACAAGCAGCCAACTTTAGGGGTACAATCTATGGCATTAGAAAAGGGTAAAGCTTCAGCTGTCCAGGAAACTTTGACTCCATTCTTTGACTCCCTGAATTAATCGGTTGCAGAACAAGAAGGACATCACCAATCTCTGATTTGTAAGACCTTGTAGCAAAAAGCCCCACTCAAGCTCAAAGATAAGTGCAGCCCCCCAAGGAGCTGTGAGAAAGGAGAACACAGAGGCCAACAAGAGGAAACAAGCAGATGAGAATAAGAAAACTGGGAACAAGATGGCAAAAAGCCCGGATGGTGTTTGAGAAGCTTCAGAAGAGATGTGTTTAGCTCTGAAGAACAGGTGCTTTACCTGGCAAAAGTTATCTGCTTCGGGGGGGTGGCTGGGTGGTGAAGTGGATAGCTCACTGGCCCTGGAGTCAGGAGGACTTGAGTTCAAATTTGGCCTCAGACCCTTGACACTTACTAGCTGTGTGACCCTGTGTGACCCCATTGCCTAGCAACAAACAAACAAACAAAAAAAAGTTAGCTGCTTCCTCAGTGGACAGGAGAGCTCAGAGATCGACCCTTAACCTGGAATGAAGTTAGAAGTGGGAATGGGGGAGGAAGTTTCTCAGGAAATAAACCATATTTAGGAGAAGCCAAATAGAGAAAGATCCAGGCCAGGAAAGACAAAAGAAATCCAGCACCAATGACATCACTAAAACATTCATTCAATGCACAAGACACTTTACTAGCATTGTGGGGAATACAGGGTGCTTAAGACATGTTCTCTGTCCTCCAGAAGCTTGAAATGCAATGGAGAAGACAAAACACATCGTTAAAATAAGGTTGACCAAAATAAATACCCTGAGAATTAGAAACAGGAGAGTAGGGGAGTTTTGAGGAAAGATGATTTCTATTTGAGGGATAGGGAAGGCATCCTTCCAAAGATAGCATTTGAGCTAGGCCTTGAAGAACAGAAATCTGGCTGTCTGAAAATGTGAGCGACCTGGCCCTATTGTATGCTCCTGTCTCTCACCACTTTTCAGACCAACCCTATTCTGCAGGCCTACCTTAGCCCTGCCCACTTCTCTCATGGTGCCCTTTAGATTCTCACCCACAGACATTATTCTGATAAATTTCCCTTTATCCTCACTCTTTGCCTTGAATGCTCTTTCAGCCTCTTTAATTGAAACCAGGTTCCCCCTGAGGATACCAGAGCTGTCATAACCCTCTCCTTTACAGGCCTCTTTTTCCTCATTCCCCCAGACTTATACTACCAGAAGGAAGGCTTCCTATACTTACTCCTTTTAATTCGGTTCAATTATCATTTGTTAAGCCCCTAGTTTGTGCAAGGTACTTTGTGCTAGGAATGGGAAAACCAAGAAAAAATAAAAGTACCTGCCCACAAAGACCTTATATTCTGCTGGGCCAGGAGGGACAAGGCTATAAAATATACACAGATTATGGCACATAGTAGGCCCTTAATAAATGTTTATGTTTATCTTATCATACTGAGTATTAAATATAAGAAAATTTGAGAAGCAAGATAGCAGTAACAACTGGGGAAATCAGGAAAGGCTTTCTAGAGAAGGTGACACTTGACCCAAACTTTGAAAGAAGCTAGGGATTCTAAGAAATGGAGATGAAAAGGGAGAACCTTCCCTGTTCAAGCACAGCGGGGAAAGATGGTATGGCATGTCTGGGGAACAGCAAGTTAGTCAATTTGGCTAGAACAGTGAGGAAGAAATGATATGAAATAAACCTCCATATTGTGAAGGACTTTGAATGTCAAACAAAGGTATTTGTATCTTGCTGTGTCTTCAGTAACAGTAGGGAACCACCAGAGCCTTCTGAGCAGGGAAGTGACTTCGTAAGTCCAATTTACACTTTATGAAGAAGAGTCTGACAGTTGTATTGAGAATGGATTGTAGAGAGAGACTGGAAGGGAACAGATCATTTAGAAAGCTCTTCCAGTAGTCCAGGTGAGAAGTGATGAGGGGCTAGACCAAAATGGTG